ACACAACTCACCACTTGCAAAGAGCCACACAAGACTATACAACAAATGCCAACTACCCGAGCAATGCTCGCCTAGAAAACAGAATAAGGTATTAATTAGCTGTTATCTTATATGAAACAAACAAACAAAAAATAAAAAAATACTTAGCGTTAAGTGATCATCGATGATTAGGTGAAACTTTATCTATATTTATATAGCGAATTAAATTTAAAAAAAAAAAAAAAAAAAAAATTCAAGAAATTTTATTTTGACTCAGATTAAAGTATTATATACTATACTATATTTAATAGCTTGGATGACTTTAATCCAAGTCAAAATAAAAGAAATTTTATTTTGACTCGGATTAAAGTCATTCAAGCTATTAAATATAGTATAGTATATAATACTTTAAAAAAAAAATAAAAAAAATAAAAATTTTATTTAATTCGGATTAAAGTATTATATACTATACTATATTTAATAGCTTGGATAACTTTAATCTGAGTCAAAATAAAAAAAAATTTATTTGACTTGGATTAAAGTCATCCAAGCTATTAAATATAGTATAGTATATAATACTTTAATCCGAGTTAAAATAAAATTTCTTTTAATTTTTAATTTTTTTAATTTAATTCGCTATATTAGATATAGATACAGTTTCATCTGATCATCGATGATCATTTAATGCTAAGTATTTTTTTTATTTTTTTGTTTGTTTTTTTGTTTTATGTATAGCTAACTAATACCTTATTCTGTTTTCTAGGCGAGCATTGTTCGGGTAGTTTGCGTTTGTTGTGTAGTCTTGTGTGGCTCTTTGCAGGTAGTAAGCTGTGTCATTCGTACAACTCTTCTAGGTGGTTTGTATCGTTCATGTAGCCCTTTCAGGTGGTTTGTGTCATTTGTGTAGCCCTTCCAGGTATGGTTTGTGTCGTTAGTATTGCCCTTAGATTTTGCCATTGATGTTGCCATTGGTGTCATCATTGCTGGTGGTGAAATTTTATCATTGGTATCGCCCTTGGAATTTTACCATTGGTGTCGCTATTGCTGATGGTAGATTTTATCATCGGTGTTGGCATTGCAAGAGGTAGGCTTCGTTGTTGATGTCTGCGCTGCTGGTGGCAAAAATTAGTTGCTATATCTCGAACCCAAACTTGTTTGTGAACTTTCGGACTGAACCTGAACCAAACTCAGGTAATGTTTGAGTCTGGTTTGGGTTCGAATATTGTGAGTTTGAGTTTGGTTCGGGTTTGAAGATCTGCAAAATTTTAAGTTT